GCCAGTTTTTGAAGGGGGTTACTAGTTAACAAGAACAGTCATTGCAGTTGTGGTTGCCTGTGTGGCTGGAAATTGCAAGGTGCGACCACAGCTTAATTAAGGGATTTCATTACTGGTAATGCAATCCCTAGATTAATAATCAGTTACAAATCTTTTAGTAAATATACTGGTAATTTAATATTTTTACTGGTAAATTCAGTAAAAATAGATTTTTGTAATAATTGTTTTAAAACCAAATATTTATTTATATATACTTTCACATATTTACATTTTTATATATTAAAAATATAGAAGTGTCAAATGTTTTTACTTAAACTGTAAAAGTAGTTAATGTCATTTATCTTTTAATTAGTCAAATCCACTTAAATTAAGAGAGTACCATCAGGATCACTACATCATACTCTTACCTGGAATGATCTTTTATCCAAAATAATAGCATCATCCAAAGAGATTATAATACACTTAGAAACATTATCATTTATATCTTATAATTTTAATGTAGTTTCTTATTGATTTCCATTCTTATACTGTAAGTTATCATCAATTTTATTGTTTTATTGATTAATCAGTAAATACCAGTCACATTACTTTCACTTCTTTCTGAAAATTTAGTAGGATATCTAGCTGAAAAGATGTGAATGCCCTTGCTCCAAGATTTCTGAATGCTCTTAATGAGCAATACAAAACAAATAAATATAGTACTGCAGAAATAAAGATATTTTCTATTAAATATAAAAGTAACTACATGTGCTATCTAAATAAATTTACTTAAAAAGACCATAATTTTCTTTTGGAAACAATTACCATCTATCTTTTCAATTATCTACTTGATCTTGTAAAATGATCATACAACTGTTGTAAAATGTAACTAGTTGGTAAAATGTTCTCTTAAATATTTTCTCACCATGTTTAAATAAAACAATACATCTTTAAAAGAAACAAGTTTTGTTGATTTGTGAACAATTTCCATTTTGTCTTCATCTTGTTTGATCTTTTCATCTCGCTTTCTTTTAACTTAACAATATTACATATTTCAACAAATTTTAATAAATACTGTAGTGTAGAAATTTTAGTGCCTGTTGCCATGCACACTTGGCAGTAATATACCATAAGATTAAAGAGATTCTTATAAATCTTTCTTAGAATTGTGCTCCCTTATGCTGACTTCTGCTTTAAAAAAGTCACTAACATAACACTCATTTAAATAAACTGCCAATAACACTATATCTTACACACTTTTCTAGCAATAGTTTAATGAAAACAAACTTTTTCAACCTCATTCAGAGTGACTAATTTCTAACTTGTAAACCTTAGGTTACAATACAAATTATATATTAAAGAAAAGAACTGAGTTCTAATAACAAAACTATAACCACTTCTGACAGACATCTGAACAGGCTGAAAACATTTGTTTTGATTAAACTATTACTGGAAAAGTGTGCAAGGTAGAATGTTATTAGTTTATTTGTTTCCAGTTTTTTATACATGTGTTAAATGGACTGCTGTACCATTCAATACACTGTTAACTGGAGTATTTTTCTATATATAAAAACAGAGAAAATGGGAAACATGAAAGAATGCTCTCTCAAATGAACTACTCTCTTATCCAATGCTCTTTTAAGTAGACATGACTATATTGCTTTAATCCTTTTCAAATTTTAGAATATCATATTACAGCATTATGCTGGACAGTTTGGCAGTTTGTTTCTTTACCAGTCAACTGGACATAATACAACAGTGAGCTAGACATATTACCAGTAACAATGAGCTAGACATGTCAGCATATCACGTTTGCTGGCATACTGAATGCCAGGTTAACAGAATTTCACTATAATTTGTACATATGTAAATACATTGAAACTGACCTAAAAATAACTTCTATCCATTGAAACATGCTTTTATTTGTGCTCTACCATTTGTATCAGAATGTATGGTTGGTGCACCAACTGTTGGAAACTGTGAGATAGCATTCATTCATTCTGAATTCTTACTTAAAATATAGATTAACATAATAAAATTAAAGAAGTTTATCAAACAAACATTTTAGTTAGAAATATTCATGGTAACCTGCTGGAGTTATTGTAAGAGATGTATTGTAGTGCTGTTTCATTTATCATTCTACAGTAAAGATTCCTGTTTTATACTCATCATATAAGTTGACTCCTAGTTCTAAGACAAGTTTTCAAGCTTAAGACAGTCAACTTATATCAGCCTATTATTATTAGTATAGAAAAAAGAAAAGAAGCATCTAAATAGTATTTTTTGTGTATAGCATTTTCTTATCTATATACAGAAAATCCTCATTAGTTTCAAATTCAAGAAATGAAATAATCACAACTTCAAATTACCGAGCTTCGAATTATCTGAGATTTACATATTTCTGTACAATATGCAAACGCCATGTAATTGATATAATTTATTAAATAAACAGAATACGGCTACATATACAGAATGACATTTTCATTAATAATTAATAATAATATAAATAAACTGCAGGTAAACAGCACAAGTCTGATGACTACCTCACAGGTTGTCAGATAAATTTTATAAAAGTACAGAATTCCTCGCAATTTAGCTCAAATTATTTTTAAAGATGCCCAAAATGGAGTGGGTTGCCCAAATGTAGTAACCTAGAATCTATAAATATCTGGTACCGGTACTTGTAGCCTAATCTTGCAATCCCGAAAACCAGCTGTAGCCTATTTTATGAGATAAAAGAAAAAAAGGGTAGTCTATGTGTATGGTGACACCCAAAAATTAGTTACTGTAAAAGTAAAGCCATATTGACCAAATTAGAGTTGTTCTTGGTCTATTGTTCTCTTATAGCATGGTAGCACTTCGAAGTTAACATACACATATCATAGTTTGGACAGAATTTCCACTTCAAATTTCAAAGTAGACATATTTCAAACTAACTGAATTCCTTAACAGATAAATCTCTACATCCCCAGCCAGACAAAAGTACAGTTACAAACTAACAGGATTTCAAATTATCGGAGTTCAAATTAACAAGGATTCCTAGTAGGAGTAGTAATTTATATCTATATAGTAGTAGTAAGTTAAATCTATATGGCTGTATGGCATTCAAAAATGTATGTAAATTGGTAATATTCAAGCTCCGAATGAGAAGTTTTGCACCCCCCCAGAACTGTACAGCAAAAAAGGGTTTTGAACCTCATATATGAGCAAAAAGTCAAATCTCTTTGGAGATGAGTATCTCACAGAGGGCCACAAAGTAATGTGGCCCTTTGTGAGATACTTACCTCCAAATATCAGTTTTTAACACATTCTCCAAATGTCTATTCTCCACGCTCCACATCATCAAGTCTCGCCATCACTCATCTTGACAGTGTTAGATAAGCAACACGACTGGCAATCGCGCAAGATCCAATTTCGGGGAGTCATATCTCACAAAGTGTCGTTCGTAGAGGTACGGTTCCTTTGACCCATAGGTATGCTCTAAGTTCCAATAAGGTCCCAACCATCTAAACCATTTGAAGGCCGGACAGCCGAAACACTCCAAGAACCTCCGGACCAAATCTGGACGGGTCGAAAAATCTCCAGAAATTTTTTGGGGCGGCCCATCCAAATAACTCAGGCCCCTGGCCGCCACATGGCAGGACTGGCCAAAGTCATAACGGGCTTGCTCAAAGAGGCTCTCTTCGCGCCCACGGGGCGAAAAGACTTAAAACAAAAAAAGTCCCATTCAGAACTCGAATTGTACCTGTAAATCGCCGAAAATATACGTTATGTTGTTCGTTTTTAAAATTACACTTAAAATAATTAAAAAATCAATCAAAATTAATGAGTGAACAAAAATTCATTTTGAACAAAGGAACTGAACTTCCAACACGGAAGAACAACACCTTACCAGACAAAGGACTTATTGTACTAAACCATAAATTTCATATTATAAAACATTAAACTCAAACAATTGTTGTTGACCTAATTTTGTTAAAGTGTAAGTTTCAATAATTCACTTCCTAACAACTTCTGTACTTATAAACATAAAACATGATTAGAATTGAACGTAATCGATTTCTACGGCTCCATTTTAACTCGGGAGTTCGCTTCGTCTGACATTTTTTCATGTTTTTATTTTTATTTTTCGATCAGATTTATCGATTACTAATTAATGCATTTTATAAATTGATAAAAAGTTCAAATAATATGAGTAAAAATTCAATTAATGTAGTCTTATTTTTGAAGGCAGACTCATACTTTCAAGCTAACAACATATACTCAGCAACAGCTTGATAACAATGAATGCATAACAAGGTTGCCATCTGCAAATTTTTCTAAATGGATGTAGTGGAGATTACTCAGCTATACAAAAGATTGATTCCCAATAGCTTGGCTGAATTTTGGTATTTTGTAATATTGTCATCTTTTGTTAATTTAATATTTTATAATGAAAACCTTCAATATTTTATAAGTAAATTGGCATTTATAATTCATTGGATTAAGTAAAAATTAGGCTCAGAGCTCTAATTCCAGATATTTTTTATTATGTAAGGGGTGCTATGATTTTTTTAAAAAGTCAAATTTTTAAATTCATTAATTTAGATGATAATTTAATTATCAGTTTAATTGTTAATTTTGCAAAATAACAATTTATATTGTCACTGATGACTGTTATCATGTGTTTACTAACTTCCATTAATTTGTATTAAATATATTATTTGATTAATGTGGTTTCAGTTAGCATGCTGTTTTTTATGGAATGCATAAAAAACAGCATGCTAACTGAATTGTGATTGTGATTAACTGATTATGAGCTTATTGTATTTATCATATTTCCATGCATATAACTTAAGGCTGTGTATGTTTTAAAGGACAATTTGAAAGTGGATATATGGGTTATGTGATGGAATGGGCTATATGCCAATTTTAAATTACAATTACAAACTTGTACCCATGAAGTAATGACTGCTCCCATAAGTGTGATGTATACAGTAGGATGAGTTAGACAAAGGTTTCACTTTACAATGTTTTGCAGGTTATATATCATCATGGGTTATATGCCACTGAGTTATATGCACAAAAATATAGTACCTATTAAATTGGTTATGAAAAAAAATAACTATATAATTTAATTCAATTTGATAAATAGCTTACTTTGACTTTTCAAAAAGGTTTCTCATTAATGAAGCCTTAAAAAATTCTCGATTTAAGAAACATAGGACTCCTCCATAATGGTAGATTCTTATATTTTCTATTTCTTTACACTAAAAAAATAAAAATATAAGAAATTATTTTAAATACTTTATTACATAAATAATCATTTATTATATACAAATATTTTATGCAAGCTATATATGTAAATTTAATGAAAATACTTACTTCATATCTTTCTATATCTAAATATATCTCTGTTTTAGGTAAGTTGCCAAGTACTACTAGATCTGGTCTAAAAAAGTTCAATTATTTTATTTTAAATTAACTTCTTTTTAATATGTAAGATTATATGTATATATTTTAAACTAAATAATTTATTGTTAAACAAATATTTTACTTTTGAAATTTCTTTGGAAAATTAAACTTTTATAGCATTGCTTTAAAGTACAAGATATAATACAAGTTATAGATATTAAACTGTAATTTGTAAATTAATGACTAAACTTGATTAATTTTATATCTCTCTTTAGATATATCATGATTTTTTTTGATACTAACAACTGGAAGGAGACAAAACATTTGACTTATTTAATATAACAAATTCATTTTTATTGACATATTTACATATGTTTGGACTGATAAAAAATAAAACACATCTAATTTCTGTAATTATTTCATATATTAAAAACTTAGATTTTTATTTTAATGGAAAATGCAATTCTTATAAATAGAAATAAAAACTGTATGCTGAAAAGATAGAATATCTTACACTGAGATATATTTCTAATAATAATTATTATTTTTCTTTATAATTGGAGGAATCCAGCTAAAATTAATTGTAAAAATTAATATATGTATCTTTTAACATAACATGTACTGAATGAAAAATTTTGTTTCAGATTATCAGCTATTTAATATCATGATATATCTTGTATTTTTATGTTTGTTTTTTATTTTTATTTAGCAATTATGATTGTAATATTTCAAAAATTATTATTCATAATAAATATTCTTACATAACAATTCTTATTAAAACAACAAAAATTGAAAAACAAACACCAATTAGGAGTCCAAAATCAATAGAAGTCAGAATCACAGATAAAAGTGCTACCATCCAGACAATCTGCAAAACAAATTTTGAAATATAAAGATTCAAAAATATTGAATTATTCATATTCTTTCATAAAGTGTAATTTGTTTAAATTTCTTAATGTAAAAATTAATGCCATTTTCATTTTTCAAGACTGATCCTAGTTAATATATATATATGTAAATCTTAAAATAGTGTGATCAGAAAAAATTTATTAAATAATGTTTTAAGCTTATTTGGTTCATCATCAAGTTTAACAATTAGTCAGCCTGTATTAAAAATAATCGAAACAAATAAGATAAAGCTGAATAACTTTTTTATTTATATATATATATATATATTAGTATCAACTTAACAACAGAATACAACATATCTATTTTCTAATAAATTAATCCAACTACAACTTTATGTATTAGGAATTATTATGTAGCAGAGTGAAAAATTTTGAAGGAATCATGAAATAGAATTTTTTTCTTTTAAGGAGCAATATATTTTGATATACAGTGGGTGATCGGTTAACGAACATAATCCATTCCAAGACTTTGTTCACTATCCGAATTGTTTGTAATCCAATTATTGATAACAATTGTTATCTAATTATTGATTTACCATAGGTTTCTATGGGAATTTGATTAATTCATTCTGGAGACTCCAAAAAATAAAAAAAGTATACTTTCTTACTACGTTTATTTATATGTAATAATAAAAAAAATATATATATACACAGTCTTGCATATTTATTAGTTATGTTTTTTTGTTTGTAGGGGTTAAATAATCTGTCTAATGTCGATTGCTTTTCTCTCTTTTTCAGGATTTTCAAATAGCATTTTAATTGTAGAGATCCCCAAGCCTGTTAACCTCAACCTGGTTTGTATGACATTCTAAGACCGTCGATCTGACATCCCCACTTCTTCAAAAGATCTTTAATTAATAGCAGATATCGGCATTAATTTTCTTTTTCAGAATAAAACATATCTTGCCGAGTTTCTTGGTGTTCTTTGGTGAACATCAGACATCTTCTGCCCAATCTATAACTTTGCTATTATACTCTCATCTTTCGAAAATAAAAACTCACGCAAAACTTAACGAGTGCCCACCTGACAGTCTCGCGAATACTATAAAAGAATTGTTTCTGTCAGAAAAATAAAAGGCTGGAATTACAAGGGAGTATAGTGGTACCTCAGGATACGAAATTAATCTGTTCCAAAACTGAGATCATATCATGAAAATGTCATAAGGTGAATCATTTTTCCCCATACGATTACATGTAAAACCAAATAATTCGTTCCAACACGNCCTGCTATCCAGGGAGTCTAGAAAATAGGTCAAATCACTTGTTTCTAATCGCTGTCTAAACTGTGGCAAGCAGGAAACGCCATCTCTGCAATGAAATTTTTCTGGTCTAGACGATCTCTAGACCAGAAAAATTTCTAAATTGTCGTCGGCGTCTAAACGTTGTCTCTGCAATCGGCTGCCAGTGTTTAGTGGTTTATCCACTCAGCCACTGGTGCGCCTAAAATTTAATAATTTTCGTATAAAGTAAATTTAACTTTTCTACGAGGTGCATACAATGACTTGAAGCAGCAAATACTCTTTTTAAAAGTATCTATTATTCATTATTCTAGGAATATGGATACAGCGAGAAAAGTTTAACAAATAGTCAGGACCGGATCATCGCATAGACAAATGAGACAAATGTCTAGGACCCGGTTTTTAGAGGGGCCCGATCAAATTGTATTTTGAAAAAATTTGTAAATAAGATAGTTTACTTTTCTGTTGCACAAAATATTCTGTTGGGTAAAATATTATATTATTTAAATATTAATCAAAAAGTTTAAATTAAACATTTAATATTTTAAGGTAATAATGTTATTGTATAACAACTTTTGTTAGACATTTAATAAAATAAATTTCAATTTTTTAATTTATAAACAGACTGTTCAAACTTTTCTAGAGAAACTAAAATTTATCGTTGTACATTAAATATTTTTTATTAATAAAAATTTAAGATTTGTTTTAGTTTTCACATCATTTAGTTTTGTTTTATTTATTGTTTTATATTTTTTGTGTGCTCTATTTCATGTGGGAGAGGGAGGGGGCCCGGTGAGAAGAAAACGTCTAGGGCCCCAAAGTGGGTTAATCCGGCCCTGCAAATAGTGCACATTTTTTAAAAGAAGCAGGCCTAATCGGCACTTCTAATCCGTGTAAGTACCTGATATAATAAGTAAGAATAATTGCTATTCGTTTTCATCAATAATATCGTGTGAATAACATCCAAGAAGGTATCGATATACATGTTAATACCAGTTCAATTCAAAACGATCGGTTTTAGATTATTTTTTAAGTATCAAAACAAGATGAGAGTAACAAATACACAGTATCGTCATCATCACGTGTCATCATCGTCATCATCGGCGTCTAAACGTTGTATTCTCGTATTCTCTTGTTTACAATTGGATTTTTAAAAATCAAATTATAATCACAAGAATTATAATTCATTTAATAATGGCTTTCCAGGTGTCCCTATTTTCAAAGCTCGGATCTCTTCGGGATAAAAAATGTTGTGATTTCTAGTTTTATTGAATAACATAATAACTTATAAAATGTTTTTATTAATATGAATTCATTGACTTTGTTTATAACTTACTTTCTGTTAACACTTTTAAACTTTTCTTGATCTGAGAGCAGTAAAACGTGTCGGTTTTCATGCCTACTATAGGTATTTTACATGCTTTTCATTCCTATTGTACAGTATGTATACCGTACATGCAAACGTAATAAAAAATTATAAATGCAAAAATATTTTAAAAATTGCGTAAGACTAATAAATTTTCTGATCAACATATACACAGATTGAATTATAATAATTCCACTGTATATTATTAGTATTCAGATTAATGTACAATCAATTCTTTATTATGCACTAATAGAGTATATACCCAGTGCGGCATTAGCACAACTGGATCAATATAGACAGTACAGAATAAAATAATGTATTGTAAAATGAACAAAATATCTAAAAAATTCGCGTTACAAGTGAAAGTCATACATATTAAGGGTTTTGAGAACACGAGAGGAATGACAATAAAGCATTGAAATAAAACAAATCACATGAAAATATTTACAGTAAGATTATACATAATGTTCGATTTTTCCAAAGTTTTATGGAAATTTTTTGAAATATCTTTATAGACAGATGTTAATATCATCTGTGGTCATTGATAGTTGGTAGTGGATTCGCCATTGCGACAGGCTGTCGTGTGGAGTTTTTTTTACGTTTGTAACACCTAAATAAGGCTCAGTTTTCCATAGAAAGTCTTTCCGGGATACATCAGCAGTCGCGATTCACGTTGCCATATACAAAACTGAAAACAATAACAACATGAAGATCATAAATTTATTTCATATTTGTACTTTTCAATTTTAGATTGGCGTTATTAATATAATTTTAGTAAGGATTGGGCATGTTCTAATCTATAATAATATTTGAGGATTCATAAACGATTGATTTGTTAACTCAACGAACTAGTCCAGGTTAAATAAGCGATGGGAATAATGCTCGATTCTTTTAGCCCTTGATAAATTATAGGAATCTGAATCGGATTCGAACAAGTGCATTAAGCTCGGATATCTTACTCGAATTTGATTGACGGCTAGATAACCGAGGTGACAAGAGTGTTATCTTAGCACTGGTAGACACGGGTTCGAGTTTGAGTCGAGAACTTTACGAAATTTTTCAGGACAGTCACTCTCAAAGATGTTAGGCCCGTCCCTCACCAACCAGCTGTCTCGTTGTTTGGCCAAACCCATCGAGCTAGAATATACTACAAAGAGTGGCTGTAGCGGCACCATGTTAGAAGAAAATTGAATACACATCCACCATTTTACTTTTAGTCAAAGAGATAAATCATTTGTGTTATGTAAAGGTAACGAGCTAGAATATTCTAACTCGTTACCTTGTAAAAATATGCAAAGGAAAAGAAGGGTTTCAACCCTTAACTGAGATGGTGCGAGTCAAAATTTCTTTAACCCTTTATTTAAGCATTTCTAAATCTCCGCGTTTTGAGACTTCCTAAACCCGAAAATGTCAAAAAGAAAAAAAGACGTGTTGTCTAGTGTATCGACGACTAAACGCTGGAATCTTAAATTTAATATTTATTTACAGAATGTTCGTTCAATTAAAAATAAGTTCATTTTGTGAATATCTAAAAACGTTGTGTATAATATTCTTGTACATGTGCAATTATATGAAGTATTTCACTAACTTCTATCGTAAATAATTCGGATAATATACGTTTCACTCAAGTGAGTGCATTTGAAACATCCTTACTATACAACCGAATAATGGTGGCTCAACATAAAAGAATGGGAAGCGCCGTCTCTAGCCCGTTACCTCTGTGGAATACGACCTCTTTGTGGGTTAAATCTGTCATTGAAGATCGTAACATAGTCATTTCGTATATAATTGTAATTATAAGCATGGGAATAACTTTTTGAAACATTTTGGAACTTTTCCTTAAGCTATACTGATGAAAAATCGTGATGTATTATATTCTATGTTTTATCACTATTCGTACCATTAATTAATGATTCAAGATTTTAACTAATAAACATAATTTGTACATTGTTATTTCAAAAGCATTCTGGATAAATGATTTACAAAATGATTTCATGTTGTTAAATTAAGAAGTAAATCAGTCTTTATGATTTGGAACCTTCCTATAAGTTACAGTATTTATATAGTATTTAGTTCGTGTGTTAAACGTAAATAACATTATATATAAATAGAAAAAGTTTTCCCATTTCGTGTTTTAACTAACAAACTGGGAAATTACCTTTTATAAGGGAAATCCTTACATAAATTACAGGATAGAATTAAAAGTATTTTTATTTTTATTTTAATTTTTAGAAATTCCTCACCACAAATATAATTACAAAAATGATCGTAATTTAGTTTAATATATTAAAATGTTATACGGTTACGCTCCATTTTTCTTATTAAAAGTTTTAAAACAATTTCTATATTTTACTGTTAATTATTATCGAAATATCGTCAAAAATTACAAATTTTCATATAAAAAAGAATAAAACAAATTCTTGGAAATCATTTTATTGTTTATTACTATTTTTTTTCTGTATTATTAACGCGATCCTTCTTAACCTTTTAAACATATAACAGAATGTAAATATATACATCTGATTTAGTTGCAAAATTATTTAATTTTTCATAAATATCCAACAGATATTAAAAATAGAAAATCTTTACAAAAGAATCTGTACAAAAAATCGATTTAGAAATTGCAATATCGTTGCAAATCGTCCAGCCAAATAACATAATCATGGCAATCAGAATATTTAATCTTGAGTTATATGAGTGGTAATACAAACGTATTGAGGGTATCTCACGGTACTAATTCGTTGAGTTGGCCCACTAAACGACTTTATACACGTGATATCCTCAACACGTTCCTGTTGCTACTTCCATAACCCAAAACTAAACACCCAAACATATATTTTATATCAGTCCAGTGTGACGATCATTTCATTACTTTGATGAAGACGTAAATCGTGTGACCACATGGCCTTCCTCCTCTTTTCTAATATCTCGTCAAGAGTTAACTTTCTATCAATAGTCGCCAGGCTATTCATAAATTCGGTTGTATCCAGTCGATCTCTCAAACGTCCTGAAGAACTGAGAAAATCTGAAAAACATAAATAAGACACTATAATAATTGAGATATTATAGGCTCAAATTCAAAAACTGATAATTATTTATATACCAAATTTTATCATAAATATAGTGAGCAATCTTAATATATTGCCAGAATAAATCTAAGTATAATTTGTAGATAAAGTTATTAAATATAGGGTGTGTTTCAGAAATGTTTGGCTAAATTTCAGAGGCTTACAGTGGGGAAAACTTGAATAAAGAAGTCGAAGGACCATTTTTATCTGAAGCTTAATTAGCGAGTTATTAAGCATCAAGAATGTAGCAACGTCATTTTCGTTTTTTTAAGTATAACAATGTAATATATTAGTAATTAAATTCGTTTACTAATCACAATTTCTTTATTTGATATCCTATTTTTTAATTATCCCCTATTTTTTTATATGAATGTATATGCGTGCAACGTACTGTATATGGAATGTATAAAGGTCTTTATTTGCTTAAAACACTTAAAATTAGGACATCTAAATACAGTATTTTTTTTATTATTGTTAAGTAATAGGTACGAAGTGTCAAAGTTTCGAATAATAAAGAGGAAATCATTAACGAATAACGTCAAGTAAGTGTAAGGTGAATTAATTTCGATTAAAATTATTCCTGATATACCTAATCACTTTGAAATAAGGAACTATTAATTCGTTTCAGAACAAAAAAAAATTGATTATTCCTTATTTTTCTATACGAAATAAACATTTTATTCCTGACTGCATAGTGAGTAGATACATCAGGAATATTTTTTGTTGAAAATAAAAAGAATTTTTACTTATTTCAATAGATTTAGGTCTAGAAAATTATTTGTCATTATCCTTCGTATCAAAAACTCCTTTCTAAATCGTCACTCATGAACGAACCGACTTCCTGAAAATAGTGAGTCAATACAAGAGATCAACATAATTCTGATCTATTTTCTGTTTATGTTGTGATTTGGAGTGTCAAAATATGATTTTTATTGAATTGGGCGAGTCATGCGCTGATAAAAAAAGAATGTTATCGAAACTAACCACTTGTAAAAAATAAATTACTTATTCTTAAGGTACAAAAAAATAAAATTTCGATTATTTTCCATTCATTAAAACCTCTTCTTTATCTACAACGAACTTTTGAAAGTATATAGGACACGCAGAATAAAAAATAGGATTCATTCTACGTCAAACTCGAATTAAAATATTTACTTTTAATTATATTATTTCTCTATTCAGAAATTATGAAAAATGGAATTGTAGTCAAGAATATCCAATTTAAATAAATCTGCTTGTAATGTATATAGAAGTATCTTAGATTTAATTACGAATTCTTTTGGAAGAATTCCAGAAACCGACCTTCAAAAATCTAAATTATTCAATTAATTTAGACTTAATTGGAAGGTTTAAATTCATTTTGTTAGAATTCAGGGACTATTTTGCATCATTAAAATTCAAATAATTTCTTTTGAAAAATTACGAGATAATTTTCTATTTGTTTTAAATTTTTGAGACTTATTTTTTGTATAAAATTAACAGAAATTTCAAAGTTTAGTTATAACCTGCCAAGATATATGCTAGATCTAAAAGGATTTTAGTTTTAGAATAAAATTTACATAATAAAAAAGGGATTTCATACACGCTTTTCAAGTACAGAACTAGAATAAAACTATTTGGATCCATGTCATAAGCTAATTATACAAAATCGAGGGCACTGACATGAACTTTGCCCTTTGTACACTTCGTTTCCTGGTACATCATTCCTTCTAATATTCTATTATTTCCTTATTTATGTCTCATCTAAAGAGAAAAATACACCTATATACCCGAAACTCACTCAGTTATGAGTTATGATTTTAATTAAACAGTTTATAAATTGCATTCCAGCAGGAGGTGGCATTCGTTTAATAATATGAAAAGTGACTCTTGAACACGGCACTAATTATCTCTCGCCACTATATTTGTTTTATTCTTTCATTATGTGAAGCTAACATAGAAATTTTTAATGGTATACAAAACTATAAAGTGAGAAATGGGGTCAACAGTTTTGATTCAGATTTCGATGAGAATTCTTTCAGTTGTACAATGGATAATACAAGGATAACGATAAGTGAATACGTCCTGTTGTTCTGTATGAGAATGTACAGTACAATCAAACAGACAGATGCATAGACGTGATATAATAAAATAAATAATATTGTATTCATTTATTGTATAAATTATTATAAATAATAATTAGAAAATATATTCAAAATTTCTTTGTATTCCTAAGAAATAGTGTTTTATCAAATATTCTAATTGTTGTATTAACTATTGTATACTTTATTATGTATTTTTGAGTAGTATTGTATACAGTTTTAACAAATTTATTTTATTTTTTGTGTCAATAGTGCTTAAGCTTACCGTTGATCCATCTCTAGTTGTGTACCATGTTAATGTATTTTTATATACTGCTATATACAATGCATTTATTAATATAAATATAAAGAGTATTATATACTATACAACATAATATTATACTTGTTACTATACTTAATATACTATAATTGTTTTAATAACAATTAGGATCTATTTTTTAAATAAAATATAGAAAACTGTTATTAAATAGGCATGACTTTGGGAAACAGCATAAAAATGATTTCTTCACATCTAAAAGCATAAAAATTTAATAACTCTTAATAAACTGTTGCATGTAAATACATTGAATTGTAGTGTGAACATAAATGTATATTATCAATCATGTATAACACATTATCCATGCAAGTAAACAACAAAATTAGGTAAAGAAAAAATAGTAATAAAATTTAATGGTGTAGAACAATATTATTTTTAAAATATCACTATAATTTTATAAATGATTAAATAAGCAAATCAATTATTAAATAAAGTCAATGTGTTATAAATTAATGAATTGCAATCTTTGTTAATTAGTATATTTAATTGTTATTGTTATTTATTTACTAAATGCTAAGGAAGTACTGTTAATTATTTTTCTTATATTTTAACTAAATTTATGTTTATTTATATAATTTTTTTATGATTACAATTTATTCCTCAGGGATATTTGTTGGCCTGGATCAGAAACAAGTAATTATTGCCTAACATAATGATGATATATATCTAACATCAATACATTAACATAATATAGGCCTACATCAAAAAATTAATAAAATGATAACATTAGTATGATGTTTTGTATACTGATGTGTACTAGAATGATATAGTTTTGTGCACTATTTATGTTATATTGACCAACATAATATACAGAGTTACACTATCCTAATATACTAGCCAACTATATAATATTAAAAATAACTATTTAATTAAATAATAAAAATAATTGTTTCTAAAAGATACTGGAATATTTTAATANAAAATATTTAATTATCTTTGCTCTCGATTGGTCTCGTAGTAAGGTATTCTGCGACAGATGGCAGCCCACCGCTCTGGGGGACCCGGGTTCGAAACCGAACGGGTCGAAAAAATCCCAGGAATTTTTCGGGAGTGGCCCGTTCGGATATATCGGGCCTCGTCCCTCACCACCCGGCAGCCCCATTGTAGGCTTGCAAAAGGAGGCCCTCTTAGTGTCCACAGGGCGGAAAGAGTTAAAAAAAAAAAAAAAAGCTCCGCAAGGTTCCAAATTCTAATCGATTCCTGACGTGTGACGCTTTGTGGGATTTCGGATCGGCCAACTCTGTGTCCATGCTAGAAGATTCTACTATTGTTTAAGCTAGCGTATAGGACAGCAATATACTCTGTGTGGCGCTGTCACCTCGTTATAAGCCTGGCCGAACTTGGCCGAATGGCCGAGAGATCAAGGTGACAGCCTACCGCTCTGGGGGACCAGGGATCGAATCCGGACGGGCCGAAATATTCCAGGAATTTTTCGGGGGTGGTCTATGCGGATATGTCGGGTCCCGTCCCTCACCACCCGGCCGCTCCATTGTGAGCCTGGCAGAACCATAATGGGCTTGCTGAAAGAGGCTCTCTCAGTGCCCACGGGATAGAAAGAGTTTTAAAAAAATCTAAATTCAATATATTTTCCATGTTCATCTTAAATAATTTTCTCTTTAATCCTCTATATCTCAAATTACGGACTGAAGCGTCGATTACAAATTCGAAGCCCGGCAACTACATTTTGATAGCATAAACTGTAGTTGAGAAACATCTCTTGCAATATAGTACTGTACATAGTTACAATTCACACTGCTCTTCTTTTACTGGCTAAGAGATTGGCTTGCGTCATATTGGTCGAAGAATGTCGGGCATCGGAAACTATTGACAAACTATTTCTATTAATTAAAGTATGTCAAAGTGTTTTATTTATACCTAATACAGATGTGTACTATACTTGCTATGGTATTACTGAAACACCATACCTCCAATCAAACCTATTACTACTAGTAGCCCGGGACGCCCCCTAGTGGGCGTTTTAGCAGTATTACAAATTCCTATGAGGCATGTTTAAAGCAGCGGCAGCTTTACGTTCATCCACAGTGGCGTAATTCTTTGGTCGTGCCATGAAAGGTTTCTATTATTATATTAAAAAATTAGCTTAACTATTTCAAACCTTATCGTTTTATCGCAGCGGTTCAAATCTATCCGGTTTTTCGTTATTCGCCTCCTAGTGAACATTACAGGCATTCCGTGACAATAATAAATTCCTATTACAAATATAATGAATTATTTATATTGTTATATTGACCAAATAATAATTTATTGGCCAAATGAATAATAATAATTTATATTGTTCATTTAAATAATAATTAAAATTGTTAATTTAATTTGAATGTTTTAAATATGACACACGATAGGGGCGCCTCTAGTGTCCGTTATCAAACGGTTACGGGACAGACGGACAGTTGAATGGGTTATATATATAGATAAACTTTTAATGTGCAGTTTTTAACACTTAACGATTAACTTCAAAGTTGTGCATAAATTACGTAACGCAGATATGAGTGAGTGGGTATGCTGTGATCGTCGATTAGGGATTGCATTGCCGATAAACGGT